TGTACTGCTGCTTGCTATCCAAGATTTGGTTTTAACAAAGTCTCTTATTCTTATCTCATAATCATAAACTTTCCACAAATGGTTTTCTGTTTTGATGTTTATTTCTATTTCTTTTGTCTTGATTATTGTTCGACAAGCCAAATTGTACTTCCAATATTTTGCTTCTTCTGGCCTTGTTTTAGGCTCCCAAATGTCTTTTACTAAGCCAGCTTTCTGGCATCCTTGTACTATTCTAAGCTTTGTTAGGTCCCCCAAATGGTCTTTTCTATTAAGTCTTGTGAGTAAACTACTTATTTGCTTTGTTGCTATTTCTTGACTTAACGATTTACAGTTTTCTAAATCTTTGTGCTCAATTGTGCAGTTATTTGTAGTTTTCATCATGTTGCATTTATGTTTGGCCAAACATATTATCAGTTAGTGAATTCTGTTAATCATCTTTTCTGACATCTTTGTTAACTGCAAAAGGTATCCTAATTTTGGGATTATTACTGTATTGTTTATGTATACAATTTGGCTCATTGACATTTTTTTGTATCTAAGATCTTTGACTGTTTGACTAACTATTCCTTTTGCTTTTTTGCAAACTAGTGATTCTCTCATTCTACTGTTTAGCCAGATCCCTAATGATCTTACAATTTTGTTTTTTGGTTCTTCAATTATTCTACTCTGTCCAAATTTAATTTCTCTATCTTCCTTTCTTAGTCTAGAATTCATTACTATGAGCTTTGACTTTGCTCTATTTATTTTAATATTATTCACTTTAAAGAACTCCTCTGCAATTTCAAGAATTCTTAGCATTTGGTCTTTGGTATTTGCAATCCATGTAGTATTATCTGCATAAGCAATTGCTGCTTGTCTATATTTTGTAATACAATTAATGTTTGTATTGCTTAATGTTTCTTGTTCTACAGTGTAGCCTAATGATTCGTCTTCTTGAATTCTTTCCAATAGTGAATTATAGAAAAGCTTTTATATTAGTAGAGAGATTATCTCTTCTTGGCTATACCATCTTTTGCATTTATTTCTTCTGTTAGACCATAAGTTGTAATTACTTTCAGTTGTCATTTATAAAAGAGGTTGATAATGTATCTTATTGTTTTTTGTAGTATTTTGACTCTTTCAAGAGCCTATTATAGACTTTCTAGTAGAACTGAGTCAAATGCCTTTTTCATATCTTGTAAAAGTATCCATGCTTCTTTATTTTTCTCTTGTGCTTCTTCCATTATCATATTTAGTATGTATATCAGTTGCTCTGTTGAGTTGCCAGGCAAATTTGCATAATTTGGCCCTTTGAGTATTTGTCTCTTTATAAATATCTTGGCCAACCTTCTTGTTACTACCTTTGTAACTAACTTTCTAAAAGTCTCAATTAGTGCTATTGGTCTTATGTTGTTTAGATTATATCTTCAGTCTGCATCTTTTGGAATCAAATAGACTTGTGCTATTTTTCACTTCTTTGGCATTTTATCTGTTTCTAGAACCAGGTTTGCAAAAGCTCTAAAAATCTTTTGTGATTTCTTTCTTGCCTGTTTAATTAAAATGTAGCTTATGTCTGAGATTCCAGAGACTGTATTGGCTTTGAGTTCTCTTATGATATCTTCCCACTTCTCTTCTTCTATTTTTTCTTTTAACTTTTCATACCAAGTTTCTTGGATCCAATCTCTTGGACTGCATATTTCTTTCCATTTCTCTGACATTTCTGTTAGCTTAGTTTTTCATTTTCTGAAATGGTTCTCAAAGTGCATTGTTAAACTATTTATGACAGCCTTGGGCTCTAATGTTAAACTGACATTTTCTTTATTTTGTACTATGAATCTGTCAAGAATTATCTTTTTGTATGGCTTGTTCAATAAATTAGCAATCATTAGTCCTTAATCAGTTTTAATCATCTCACATCTTCTGTTTATATTTTCTTCTATTTGTTTTCTTTGCACTTATTTCCAGTTCTCTTTTTTCTGTTTTTTACAATTTTTTGTCAACCTTTTATGTCTTTTAACCAAGCTTCTGACTATTGTTTGTATAGCTTTAGCAATACTACTCCTATTTCTTTGCTAATGTCTTTAAGTCTATTGTTTATTTCTTTTCTTTCTTCATTTTTTGTTACTTGGTTTTTTCTCATTTTTGCCTTTTTTATTATGTGTTGTAGTTCAATTATATGTCTGCAATGTTGTGAATTCCTATGCTGATGTCTTCTATTTGCCTTTGTATTAAATATCTTCTTTTTTGGTATTTGTTTATTTGTTGCTTCTATTATGGCTTCTTCTATTGCATTTCATATATAGTTCAGCATGTCTGTCTTGTGTACACTATTCATTATATCCCCTTCTAGTTGCTTCAGTACTTTTTTCCACTCTAGTTGTACTTGAAGCTCTTTAGCATATTTTTTCTAATCCTCTTGTTTTGCTTCCTTATATAGGTATATTGTTTTCATTTGGTCTTTATGTTTGATTTCTGCACAGCTGTAGTTCATAACTACATGCTCTACCCATATGTTCATTGTTATTATTCTGTAATCACTATCTGTTATATTTTCTGCCTCTTCTGTATTGGCTTTCTGTAGACCAGCTGTGAGTATTTCTAATAGCCAGATATAGTTGATTCTTGTTGCAGCTTCATAACTTGATCACATATATGCTCTCTCTGTTAGATGCAGGCTTTTAAAAGAGTCTATAAACTCTTGCCTTTTAAGTCAGTTAAAGATTGGTCTTTTAATTTTTATTAATAAGTTATTAGTAATGTAATTCTATAAATAACTATAGAAGAGAGTACAATTGGCTATATATATAACTTTTCTATATTATCTATTTAAGAAGTTTAACTAAAGGTTTCTTATCAATTGCTGTATCTAATACTTCTGCTTAGATGTTCTATTTTAAACTCTCTAAACCTGTAACTTGTATTAACTTACTAGGTTATACCTGGATGTTCAGATTATCATCTCAATATTAGAACTAATTTACTTTTAAGATAAACCTCCCAAAGCCTTTTGTATTTATTTTTATAGCTGATCTAGGTATTACTATAGCAGAACCAACATTTATAATCAGAGTTATATTATTTAATTGCTATGATCTTGTAGAGTTTACTCAAATCCTAGAATTTACTTTATAGCATAACTCTGATAGTTTAGTATATTTCTGTCTTCTTATCTGCCTTTTTATTAAACTTCTAATATAGCCTATATAGGACTATGATTAGTCTATCAGTATATCAGATCAGTCTAATATTCTTTTCTCTATTTCATTCTGACAGTCTAGTTGGTGATATTTTTGAAACTTTTAATATATAGTTTCTTGCCTGTTTAGCTACTATGACCAGGTACTATAATCTTAATATCTGTTTTCTTAAGTTAGCTATTATAGTAGAGCTGTTGAAAATCTGGCTATCTTTCTACTTAGGGCTTTCTAAATAGACTTTTTGTTACCTAATTTTAACAAATTTATATGGCTACAAGAACTTATTTAGTATTTGCATTGTCTGATTTGTCAGTTTGCATTCCTTTATATAACAAATTACTTAGATGCCTTATGATCTGTCAGTTATGCTAATATAACTGCTATTATAGATATTCTAATCCAATCATTAGTAACAATTAGTATAATATGAATATTATATAGGTGATTATTCAAATTTTTACTATCAATAGAATTTGAACACCTAATCTTCTACTTAAAGGGTTGATAACTTAATTATTTTACTAAGTTACTACATCCTACTTTAAATTGTGTTTGCTGCCAAATTCTCAAAAAAACATTATATTTTATAATTTGTTTTATTTTTTTTAATTTATAAAAAAAAATTATTATGTTATTTTAATAATCTAATACCTTATTAAGGGTAAAGTATATATATATTATTTGTTATATGATTTTAGTTATAAATTTTTTTATTTTGATATTTAAAAATATTTTTACTAAACTGTTTTTAAACTTTTAAGAAAAGTTGTAAAGCAGACTTTTATGATTTTAATAATAGTAGAATTTTTAATTTAGATTAAAATTCATTGATATAGATTTATTTAAAGATTTGGTATAATAAATTTATTATAAAAATCATATAATAATTATATGATAATCAGCCAATAAAACATTATCACCAAGAATTTAAATTTATTACCAAGACTTTTATGATATATATAAGTATAGATTTTTTAAAATAATATATATTATAATTTTTTATTATAATAAATAAATTATTTTAATTTAAATATTCTAAAAATTTAATAAAATTTTGGTATGTTTTTAAAAAATTTTATTAGTACTATATTTTTGCTTACTATGTAAATCTAAATTTACTGTACAAATTATATGACAAATAATTTATATGTACTCTATTCTTAATTTTTATATTCTTAATTCTATTTAAGACTTCTTTTTTATATTATTATATAATAATATTAAATTATTTCTTTATAAAATAATAATATTTTTTTTATAATTTTATCAAATATATTTTTAATTAGTTTTATTAATAAATATAATCATTATATTATATTTTTTAATAACAATAAAAAAAACATATAATATAACTAATAAATTTGAAATATATTAACTTAAAAAGTTAGTAAGTTGTTACTTTAGATGGCAAATCTAGTGTGCAAATTCTATTTATAATAAAATTTAGAAATTATATTTGGTATAATAAACTGTTTTTTAATAATTAGTTAAATTAATATATCTTTAATCTTAAATTATATTATTTTAAATAAAAGCTTGAGACATCTATATAAAGTGTAATATTATATGTATATTGTTAACATTAAGAGTTTTACACATTTTTGATCATAACTTTTGATATACCGAACCAATTGGATGAAACAACCACCATTGGATTCAGCTCACCAAGACGGTTCTAATGAGCGCAAGATCATGTGATTCTGATTACGGGATCATGAGATCGGGACGATTTTGATGAAAGTACTAATTCTAGTACATGTGACTTGATTCTGATTGGCTCAAATTACTGTGCCGGAAATCTTACAGATATTACAGATCTTACAGATTTCGAGTTGACAAAAAGGTCAACAGATCGAAAAGGCAATCGATGCAATGACGCACTGGCACCTGCAATCACATGCAGAACTTGGCGCCAACAAGCAAATCCAGTACATGCAACCCCCCAAATGAGAATAGCATACATAAGGAGTGCAGATAGACAACTCAATAAATAACAAGACAAGAACCAAGATATCAAGAAGCAAGACAAAAGGTCGAACATCAGCAAGTGGCCAAACAACAACCGGGAAAGCAGAACATTCACAAAAAAAAAAAATAAAATAAAAAATAAATGAGCAAGAGGAATATATGCAACTTATCAATCGCCAGAAATGCAAGCACTATATCCAATGAGTCTGTAGAAACAATTGTTGCATCTGGCAGTTAAAACCAAGAGGAGCGAAGTCCTGAAATGGGCATAGACACACAAACAAAAACATACGTAGATACAATAATCCAAACAACTGCAGCAGCCATAATGCGGACTATGCAACAATATATGGACCAACAGTTTGAAGCGCAAAGAGAATGGAACTCCCAGTGCATGGACACAATCAATCAAAGATTTGAACAGCTGGAACGAACACGCCAACAGAATAATAATAATAATGATCATCAGAATGACAACACTAACCAGGCTACAACAGACAATCAGCAGAACAACATGGAAACAGACAGAGATACCGAACCTCACAAGGCAATTATCCTTCTTTCCCAGTCATAAACAACCTAATCATGAGCGCAAATCTGGAAAATCAAAACAATGAAATGATAAGTAACGTTGGAGTGATGACATACAAAGTAACAGCCAGAAGGTTCCTAGCAATAAATTACAGTATAATAAAGAATATGCCAACAGTTCAAGGGTTCTCAAACCCAAAAGCAGTAGAGACAGAACGTATTCGGTCATGGTGGGTTATGAACTGGAAGGAAGGACAAAAAATGATAAAAATGATTCCACAAAAGCCAACCTTGACTCACAAACTATGGAAGGCGCTAGCTTTTGGTTCATTCGTGAACCTTCATGAATTCATACATAAAAACCTAATTGACAGTATGAAAGAAATGAATGACAACACTACATTAGAAACTTCAGAAGGTGGAATGATCTCTATAAAGAAACGGAAGCACAATACAACCTTTGGAAACATATCTGAGTGGTTATTAGCATTCAAAGCATATATGGATGCAGTATTAATGTTATATAAAAATCGTGAACAAGAACTAAACACATATAGAGATCATATAAATGAGCTATGTATCAAATATGAATTTGCAGCTGTCATGGAATATGATGAAGATCGTAGAGTGGCTTTAGTAATGGACCGTGATTCCACTCTTCAAGACAGAAATATAGAAGCAGAAGGCAAAAATTTTGATATGACAATGACAAGAAAAACATAAAATAATGGCTGGCGCCACCCTAATTGGGTAAATACATATTGGCAAGACAGCAAAGAGATTTGTTTAAATTGGAATCGTAAATCATGTCCTGAGGACAAGAATTGTGGTCGAATCCATGCCTGTACTATATGCAGGAAAACTAATCATAGCGAAAAGACCTGCTTTCGAAAAAATTTAAGAAACAGAAATAATTATACTCCGACAAATGAATAAAACAGCAGCAGTATAAGTAAAAAAAAAAAAAAAAAATTTTTTTTTTTTCTTAACTGAACGCATAATCTAAAATAATAAAATATATGCAAACAGCATCAGTAGTTAAATAAATAAATACAAATAGACAATAGTGCTAGCACAAAATGCGTAAATAACAATAAAGGCATTACTAACATAAATGTATAAAATAATAGTGACAAGCAATATACAAAAATTAATGAAGTACACTGCACAGTTTAAAGCATCGAAGGCTATAACATCATACGCAGAACCAAATCTACAATCAGTCAAACAAACTATAGAAGCCATTTCACCAAGAAGCAGTCCATTATCACAAGAAGAGATAGCAATCTTAGCACAATTAGACCCAACTCACTTTAATGTAATAACTCCAATTAACAAGTTCGCATTTGACTACCTAACATGTGAACACCCAAATTAACAATTTGTTCAATATCTTAAAGACAGCATTCAAAACGGTTTTAGATTTAACTTCACTGGCAAACAAACAATAATAGTACAAGATAATCTGAGATCTATAGACACAGAACCAACAGCACTAGCTAAGTATATAGAGGATGAATTGGCTCTAAAACATATGAGTAGGCTATTTACTATTGACAATCCACCATGCTCAGTCTTCTAAATAAACCCATGTGGTTTGGTAGAAAAGAAAAATACAAACCTGAAAGTCTATAGAGTTATTTCCCATTTATCAGCACCAGCTATGGCAAGTGTAAATGATGGTATTGATGGTAGCGAATTTGCAACTAAGTATAAAAATATAAATCATGCTATAAGGTGGATAGCACAATATGGAAAAGATTGCTTACTATCCAAAATTGATATAAAGGATGCATACCGTATACTACCTGTACACCTAGTTGATCAAGTACTTCAAGGGTTGCAATATGATAACAAGCTTTATTTTGACAAAGCACTAGCATTTGGTAACAGGGCATCTGGTGGCATATTCTGCAGATTCGCAGATATAATCACGTGGATCGCAGTAAAACAAGGAATCAAGTCAATTATACATTATGTAAATAATTTTTTAATAATATCTAAACAAAATGCCGAGCAGGAGTTACACCAATTCTTACGGATATTAGATATACTCAATGTTCCCTACAAGCCATCAAAACTTGAAGGCCCATGCACAGTACTAACATTTCTTGGTATTCAAATCGACACAGTTAATTTCTCCACATCTATTCCTGAAACAAAAAAGGAAAAAATCCTAAAAACAATTGCTGAATGGACTGACAAGAAATGGGGTTACAAAAAAAAGATACAATCACTGATTGGTTCACTTATATGGCTATGTTAAACAATTCCACAAGGCCGACCCTATTTACAACATTTTATCTAAGCAGTAAGCGGACCCAAAAAAATCAAAGCTCTGTATAAAAATAACAAGCCCAATGAAAGCTGACCTATGATGGTGGTCCAGAATCCTTCCAGAATGGTCAGGAGTATACTTCCTAGAATATAGAATATGGTTACAACCAAATATCAAGAACTTATTCACAGATGCATTCAACCTAGGCGGCAGTGCAACATATAAGCAATATTTCACAGCATTTAACTGGAGCACATCAATGGACCTAACAGCAAACAGCATTCAAATGCGTGAGCTCCTGATGTGCCTGATAGCGATGTCTACATTCGCACCATTATGGAACCAAAAACGCTTGATAATGTGGACAGATAACAAGGCCAATATAGAAGCCTTCTATTCAGGTTTCTGTAAGAACATAACAATTAATGACATAATTGCAAACATGTACATGGCACAAATTC